GTAATCGATAATTTCCTTTGCAAGATACTCGAGCGAGGAACGGAGGGGCAGTATTCGTACCCATTTAATTTTTTTCATGGTCTGCATGGTCTAGAGAAGGCTTACATGCAGGCTCCTGCTGATGATGAGGCTGGTGGTTTGTGGAGACTTCTGACAGGGAATTTGTGCTCAGATAGTTCTGCTTTTGCCAGCCAGGAGAGACCCGGGAAGAAAATTCGATTCTTATTGAAATGGAAGGAGTCTCAGCTTAATGTATGTAAGCATGTTATTGATGATGTTGCCTTGTTATCCTTCTGTTGATTTTCGTGTTTTTCTTCTTTCTGGTGCCATTAATTGTCGCGTTAATGAGATCAATAGCCAACATGGGTGATAATATGATTGTTCATTACTCTTTCAGCGTTTCTTAAGTTTGATTTATAATGGTTTCATAAGTTACTTCATTTATAGGATGTATAGAATATGATACAAGAGTTCAAGTCATCATATGTTAATGCTAATTTGGCATTTGGCTCATAAGATCTAATGTATATAATACCTAAATGAATGTCAAACCAGTGGATGATTTTTGGATGTTAAATACTATTGGATTAGTTGCTTGCATTGCATTGCGCGATGAATTTTGGTAATTAAGTGTACTTATTTTTATGAGATTGAGTGCTCGACTGAGGGGGTTCATACTTGGTAATTGTTTCCTAAATGAATATCGCTTTCATTTTCCCGTAAGGCCCCGCATGACAAACCCACACCACGACTGCTTCCGTAGTGTCCGTCACTCCATCTCTGTTAAGGCCCTCATCAATAAATTACTCGATTTTTATGCAGCATTTATTTTCTCTGTTAAGTGTTATGCCGTTTAAAGACTTAGTTTTGTATTGGTTTATTATTAGTGTAAGGCTTCTCTTATTAGTATTGGTTCTATGATGTGTCTTTGAATTTCAATCTTGGTATTTGACATTCAGTTCATACATACATAAGACGGGGTGGGCCGGGCCGACCTGCCTTGGAGTGAGCCAGGTCCGTAACTACTCGGCCTGACTTGGCTTATTGTTATTCCTACTCCTAACATAAAATTCACTGTTTCGTGCATTTCTAATGCCGCTCTAATATGGCGTTGTGCAAAAAACTTGTTCAAATGTTATGCTACAATTTTGCACTAAAGTGGAGATGTGTATTACAATTTTCTCTCCACTTTTTATGTACTTTTTAATTGGTTTTATTTATTTCTAGACGTATTATTTGACAAAAATGCACTAATAAATTTATTAATTTTGTTAAGTAAGTTTTAATTTTGATTTTGTTCATTAATCTCTTGCTTGTGGGCCCACAGAAAGTGGCTAAGGTCAAAAAACAACTCGTTTAAAGTGCTACTGCAAGATGATGATAATCAAACAATTCCTGACTTGGCTCGGCTCAGAGCTGACAACTACGATCACATTATTAAGAATGCCAATTATGGTGTTCTAGCGACTTGTGACTCATGGATGCTGACTAGTAGAATTATTTCCTTCAACTTTGCTAAGTCTAAGTTTACCCCTGTTCTAATTCACATGCCCAAGAGTGTTAAGCTCTTCTGGGGCATTGCTATTCTTGTTGAGTTAGATGGGTTGCTTGCTGTATTTATTTTCGTGTATGGTAAATGGCCACCGGAATTAAATAGTGAAATGAAGAGCCTTTTATTTCCGATCTTTCGAGTATGGTACACTGTTTCTTTGGAACTCCTAGGCGACCTACTGCTTTACGACATTGAGAGTAGTGAATGGCAGAATCTCTGTATCCATGATGAGTTTATGGCTCTGAATGTCTTCTCATAACATCGACTCCAAATTTAAATCCTCGAAGATAACTAAAATCTCTCGTCTGGCTTTTATTTTTGAGATATGGGTATGAATTGAGAGCATTTGGTCCCATGAATCCGCATACAAAGTCACTTCTCCTCATGCGGGTGTTGTTTATATTACAAGGATTATAAAGTATTTGTTGAGGACCCTAGAGTTACCTATGGATTTGTAATCGCGCGAAGCCTGAGTTGGAGCGTACATCCATCTGTGATTAGTTTTTCTTTCAGTCTAACCTTACGTGTGAAACTGATCATATCTAAATTTTCTACCCTTATGTGTGAAATTGATCATATCAATATTTTATTTTCAAGTAAATGAGAGAGAAATTTTGTTTCTGGTTCACTGTAATGGTATTTTCTAAAAAAATAAACACTATAATGGTATAGAGTATAGACACACTAATTTGTTAAAAATTTGAAAAAAAAAATAAAAATTCACTAATCATAATGCACGAAATAAAATTAGTTGTTTTGTTACGTCGCGAATTGGAGTTTGTTTACCCACTCTCCAAAACAATTTGGGTTGTTCAACAGGTCAAATTCCGGCGAATTGGAGTTTGTTTACCCACTCTCCAAAATAATTTGGGTTGTTCATCAGGTCAAATTCCGGCGTAGTCGAACATCTTTTTTAGTTGATTGACCCAACTTTATATTGAGACAATTATATCCACACAATTTCAGTTCAATCAGAGTTTGTTGTTTACTGAGTTCTCCAATCAATGAAATTTAGGCTCGAATTCGTTGTTTTTTAGAGCAAAGGCTGCAAAGCATCCATGTTGAGATCATTTGAGCTACTGTATCCTAATATTTTTGGTGTTGGAATTGTTTTTGTACTCTTTGAGCCTGCTATAACATATCCTTAAGTTACTAGTGAAAAATAATAAATAAATAAATAAATAAAAAGCGTTGACAAAAAATTCATACTTGCCCTTTTGTTTTGCATTTTAATCATATTTTTCCAATTTTGGCAATTAAACACAATAATTTCTGTATTGTTACAAATTGAATCATGTTGGTCATTTTTTGGTCTCAGAAAGATGACATGGAGGCTACAGAAATCGACATGGCTTTGAATAAAGAATTACAAAAATCGACATGGATTTGGTGTAAGGAGGTTTTGTTTATTAGTTGTGTGTTGGCCTTTGTGTTTTGCTGTTGTGTGTAGTATTAGTCTAGCTTCGTCAGGTTTTTAGCATTTTTTATGGAGTTTTTTATTGTGTGAGTGTAAGTACTGTGTAAAACCAAGGGGATAGAGGGTTGGTCCAGACTTAATTAGAAGCAGTGGTGTCATTTGATATTTCGGGTGTACTCATTTTAAGTTTTGATCAATTATTAATATAATTAAAGTTTAACAAAAAAATATATATGTATATATAGGACGAAGAAGGTGACTTCCCTACTTCTTATATGTCGATAAATTCTCCAAACCGACAAACATTTAGAAAATGAATTGATTAGATAATTTTTGGGTGTACGGGGTGTGTCATATACTCATATAAAGAGTGCCAAATCAATAAGTTGTATTCGGAAATTGTTTCAAGTCAGCAAAATTTTAAGTATCGAAAAATTCAAATTTTCACAAAAAATTTGAGTTTAAAATACGCAACGAAAAGAGACAATTAAGAATTATTAAAATTACTGGTAGGCTGCAGCAAACGGCCAATAATTAAGAATTATTAAAATTTACTGGTAGGCACAAACGGTCGGAATATTTCAGTTAAAAAAAATATTAATGTGTTGTGTACCTGCAAGCAAAGAGATTTCACGTGCACTCTAAAAGAATATCGTCGGTTTTCTAGTATAACATCAAATATTATTTCTAGATATTTTTTATATTTTATTTTTTATAAAATAAAATATATTAGAATAAATACGATTGACAAAAGCTTATTCACCATGCAAATTCGGTTGAATATGTTATCCATCCAAACTAACTAAAAGTTTAAAAATTAATAACTAGTGGGCCAAATTGAGATCCCAAAAAATATTGAAAAAAATACAAAAAAATACAAAAAAAAA